TTTGGGTTCTTTGAAGACAATAGATGTAATAGAAAGTACATGCTGAACCTAATTTTTATTGTAGCTAAATATATTCATAAATGTAAATATACCCATGTCAATCCTCTTTTACCTGTCTTCATCTGTGAAATTAAGAAATATGCTGAGTCTATAAAAAACTCAGAATTTAAAAGCCATAAAAACTTGGAAAGTTTTTAAAAATATGACTTGAATAATTGGTAATACATTTTTCCTCCCTACCTTAATCTGTGATTGTTCTCTGTAATCTTAACGTATGAACACTGTTTTATTAGTCTGGCCCCCTCATTTGTGTGTGCTTTATTACGATGCTATGTACGATACCCAGTTTCACTAATAAAGTTTGTTAAAACAAACAACCAAGCAAAAAAAATAAAAAATAAAACTGTAGCGTTGTCTTTAGCATACGTCTGTGGTCTTCAGCCAAAGGTAGCTGCTACTGATGTGTCGGTGACGAACGAGCCGGCTCTAAGAGCCGGCTCTTTCAAGTGAACGATGGGAGCTGGCTTGTCATTGGGAGCCGTCCCCTCCCCTTTTGCTTTGGTGAAAGCTACAGGCAACTGGTCAACATGTGTAACTGCGTGTCTAGACAGTCCACACACAGAGCAGTGGGGGCGGGGAAGAGGGAGGATCAGACTCAGACACACAGAGCACATGCGGGTGGAGAGAGACGAGAGGGAATGAGGAGGAGGAAAAAGGTGAGTGAGAGAGAGGAGAGTGAGACAGACAGTGAGAAAATGAGTGCCAGCAGTCAGAAAGTGGAGATTTCTTAAAGTGTTCAGTTATTAAATCCATAGAAATGATAAATATTTGATATATTGCATTTTTTACATTAGTAAATAATTTTACAAATTGTTTTGCATTATTTTGGTTACAAATGTACTCTACGCAACAGAAAATCTGAGAAGCGACTTGGGAGCCGAAAGAGCCTGCTCTTTTTGGTGAGCTGAACCAAAAGAACCGGCTCTCTAAAAAGAGCCGGAATTCCCATCACTAGTAGCTGCCGCAGCCGGAAGTGACCTAAGTAAGTTTCGGTTGTCATGAGTGCTCTGGCGCCCCCTGTGGCTGACTGAACTTCTGCAGGAGGAAGCAGAAGCAGGCGGCAGGATCCGCCACAGAGCTCCCGTCCCATCACAGCTAAGTGGGTCAGAACCAGCAGGGACGGAGGTTCTGGGTTAGTCCAGATCAGCGGAGGCTGGCCCACCACAACCCAAACGGTCTGTCCTATGGAGAAACCGAATGCTGCAGCGGGACCGACGGACGGTACCGGATCGATCAGAACCTGGGGCTCCCTGCCCTCCGGATCACCCGCCGCTAACATGATGGACAGGTGAGTCGGTTCGGTACACAGATGTGGAGTCAGCGTTGACCAGGAAGCCACCTTTACCACCGCATGTTCAGACCTGCTGTCAGACGTAACGTACGGGTCATCGGCTCCTGCTTAGGTTCGGTTCAGACCGGAAGAGTTTCCAGGTGTGATCCAGGTGTTTACCTCCGAATCACACTCTCACTTCACAGAATAATGTAGCTCACACTCAGATTCACAGCTTCCGGGAAGAAGCTCAGTGACGGAGGTGTGTGTGTGTGTGTGTGTGTGTGTGTGTGTGTGTGTGTGTGTGTGTGTGTGTGTGTGTGTGTGTGTGTGTGTGTGTGTGTGTGTGTGTGTGTGTGTGTGTGTGTGTGTGTGTGTGTGTGTGTGTATCAGGTCTTCTGGGTCTACCCCAGAGATCATTCACACAGGCTACAGTTAAACAAGCTGCAGAAGTAAAATAATTTCACTAAAAACTGATTTCTAGTCATCGGGCTGGAATCAGACCCTGGGCCGGATGTGGTCTCCTCCAGGACCTGCAGGATTCTGATTTCCTATGAGAAGCCATGGTTCAGTGAGCTAAAGGTAAACTGTTCCTGCTCCATAAATCCATAAACGATGCCTTCTGAATCAAGGAGCTGCTCTTCATCCTCATACCGAACCAAAACATGTAAAAAGGGAAATGATCCGACCCCTGAGGGTGGCAGGAAGGCTCCCTCTGAGGGCCAACACTGAGAAGTTCCACCAGCGAACTGCTGGACTCGTTTTAGACTGGGCAATTATACCACCATGTAACAAAATTCATCTTCAAATATATAATTTGAGGCCCAAAACCCATCTACTGGTGTCAAGAGCAGAGGAGAACTCTGGAGTTGGGCAGTAACGGTTCTACATCCAGATCAATGAAGCTTCTGGATCTTTACACACTGTAATTTTGGTGAGACCTATGTCGATGGGTGAGACCTGCCTACCTCAGGAAAAATGTGCTCTGGTCAGGTGACCTGTTCTCACTCGTTTGCATCTGGGTTCTGGTGTGCTTAAGTGTTGTGTGAACGTGTGTTCTCCTGCGTGAGTGTCTAACAGAGTTACTGCAGCAGACAGACTCTTTAATGTGAGGAGGTCCGATCTGTCGGGTCCTGTTTACTCAGAACTGCTGGCTTGGAGGCGTGTGAGGGCGGAGCTAAACTGACACATCAAAGGAACTCTGTCTGAGCAGCTTGTTGTTCTGTAGCTCATCAGGTTCCCATGTGGAGTGGTGCAAACAGCTGATAGCAGCCACCCTCTCCAGTCAGGCGTCAAGATCCGTCCAACTGGACCTCCTGAGTAGGGACAGCAGGGTGAGTGTCACACACACACACACACACACACACACACACACACACACACACACACACACACACACACACACACACACACGAGAGGAAAACGTGCTTCCATTTTTGAGTTGGAATTTATTTAAAGGTCAATTTTACTGAAAAACATATTTTTAATGATTTCTTCAGAGTATAATTGGTCACTCTGTATATTAAATGTTCACGTCTGTATTTTAGTGGACCTGAAGGTGTGGTTCACTCACGCCTCTGATTGTAATCGATCACTCTGAGTTTTTCATACAGGCTGAACGGGAAAACGCCTCCTACACCTCTCTCCTGCTTCAGCTTCTGATAGAAAATAAATAGTGAAACTCTAGGATTAGAAAATTGCTGCAAATGTATTAAAATTACGAGTACATTTGATAGTTAAGGGACAAAGGCCTAAAAACATCACGGCCATACAGACAGACATGCTGCACCAGCTTCTAGCTAAACCTGGGTGATTTGGGCCGATCTGTGAAGCTAAGCCTTAGAAATGTAGGAGTCATCTTTGACAGTGAAATGTCTTTGGTGCAGCACTGTAAGCCGCTAACGAGAAACAGCTTTTTTTTTTTAAACTAAATAACATCTCGAAGCTTAGACGTATGGTGTCAAGAAATGATTTGGAGCTCCTCATTCATGCCTTTGTGTCATCCCGTTTAGACTATTGTAATAGTTTATTTTCTAGTCTGAACAAGAAGGAGCTCCATTGTCTGCAACCAGTGCAGAACTCAGGAGGTTTCACATATCCCCATCCTAAAGGAACTTCATTGGCTGCCTGTGTCTTTTAGGTTTGAGTTTAAGGGAAAAGCAGTCCTCTGCTTCCGGGGCGACGGTGGCACAGGAGTTAAGTGCTTGCCCCGTAATCGGAAGGTTGCTGGTTCGAGTCCCGCTCAGTCTGTTGCTGTCGTTGTGTCCTTGGGCAAGACACTTAACCCACGTTGCCTGCTGGTGGTGGTCGGAGGGACCGGTGGCGCCAGTGCTCGGCAGCCTCGCCTCTGTCAGTGCGCCCCAGGGCAGCTGTGGCTACATTGTAGCTCATCCCCACCAGTGTGTGAATGTGTGTGTGAATGGGTGAATGACTGATTGTGTTGTAAAGCGCCTTGGGGGGTTCTAAGACTCTAGAAGGCGCTATATCAAATACAGGCCATTTACCATTTAAGATTGTGGCTTTGGCTTTCAGAGCCCTGCATGGACAAGCTCCCGCCTACATTAGAGAGCTGATCCAACCCCACACCCCTCTGAGGAGTGGGGATCTTAATCTGCTTAAAGCTCCTCGCACTTCCTGTCGCACTAGAGGCGACCGTTCGTTTGAGGCTGTAGCTCCCAAGCTTCTGTCGACAAGTTCAAGAGCCAGCTTGAGACTCGTTTATTTGTCCAGGCGTTCGTCTAGTTATTTTAGGGCTGTTGTGTTTTTCTGTGTGGTCTTGGCCTTTTATGACATGTTTTTTATTTATTTTCATTAATTGTTTTTATTCACTGTATTTATTTTCTCATTTTTTTGTTTAAACTTTTAAAATGTTGTCAAGCGCCTTGGCTTATGCCTGGGAAAGGTGCTTTACAAGTAAAGTTTACTTACTAAACAGTCAGCTAGTTTCCGTCTGTAGCCATAAATAAATAAATAAACACGACAACATCAACGATAAGCAATAAGGTAACTAAGCAGCGCAATCAATGACATGTTCGTCAACAAATAACTGTTTATGGAGTAAGATCCAGCCTAGGTCAGCTGAAGTCAGACGTCCACACAGGTCTTTGTGGACCTTCGTGTGTGTTTATTCATTCTGATGTCCAGGTTTTTCTAATTATTACATCAGAAACATCAAAGAACAGGTGCTTTACTTTATCAGAAGTGTAACCATGTGCACCTCTATGTGGTGTTGTTGGCGTGTTGTGTACATTGTCTTTGTGCATGTGTGTGTTTCCCCTCCAGGTCTCCAGGAAACTGACATCCAGGGTGAGTTCCCCTGTATACATGTAGAGGCGTCTTTTTCTGTTCTGCTTGCCTCATGGATTCCCTCTGACCTGATGCCTTCCTGTCCCTCTGACCTGATGCCTTCCTGTCCCTCTGTCCTGATGCCTTCCTGTCCCTCTGTCCTGATGCCTTCCTGTCCCTCTGACCTGATGCCTTCCTGTCCCTCTGACCTGATGCCTTCCTGTCCCTCTGTCCTGATGCCTTCCTGTCCCTCTGTCCTGATGCCTTCCTGTCCCTCTGACCTGATGCCTTCCTGTCCCTCTGTCCTGATGCCTTCCTGTCCCTCTGTCCTGATGCCTTCCTGTCCCTCTGTCCTGATGCCTTCCTGTCCCTCTGTCCTGATGCCTTCCTGTCCCTCTGACCTGATGCCTTCCTGTCCCTCTGACCTGATGCCTTCCTGTCCCTCTGTCCTGATGCCTTCCTGTCCCTCTGTCCTGATGCCTTCCTGTCCCTCTGTCCTGATGCCTTCCTGTCCCTCTGTCCTGATGCCTTCCTGTCCCTCTGTCCTGATGCCTTCCTGTCCCTCTGTCCTGATGCCTTCCTGTCCCTCTGACCTGATGCCTTCCTGTCCCTCTGACCTGATGCCTTCCTGTCCCTCTGTCCTGATGCCTTCCTGTCCCTCTGTCCTGATGCCTTCCTGTCCCTCTGTCCTGATGCCTTCCTGTCCCTCTGTCCTGATGCCTTCCTGTCCCTCTGACCTGATGCCTTCCTGTCCCTCTGACCTGATGCCTTCCTGTCCCTCTGTCCTGATGCCTTCCTGTCCCTCTGTCCTGATGCCTTCCTGTCCCTCTGTCCTGATGCCTTCCTGTCCCTCTGTCCTGATGTCTCAGAGCCTCCACACTCAGGACCACTCTTGGATCATGAGGAATGATCCTGGTTCTTCTCTACTGCGGTTTCGCAGACACTGTGGTCGTGTCCAGAACCTGTCCATCTGTTCCTTAGGGGGAACATTGGGTCAGCTGGTCTTGAGGATCCATGTCTGTAACACCTTTACGTTCCTGGCAGGTGAACTGGACCGACACAACATGTGTGGAACCAGAGAGCTTGTGTCTGTAGATGCCCCCCCCCCCCCCCCCCCCCCCCCCCGGCTGAAGGTGTTCCTGCAGGTGTAGCTCACCTGCAGCTGTAAGCTCCTCTCCTTTCAAAATAAAACACCAGAAGTATTCCTGTCAGGTTCACTGGCAGCTGATGCATAGAAAGAGGGGGTCCAGTGGAAAGCACCACGGTGCTGAGTACACTGCCCGCTGGGACACACTGATCCTGGTTCTGTTTGTAGAACGCAGCAGTTCCTCCAGTGTAGGGCTGGAACTCCAGGAACAGGTGGAGAACCTTTGGATCAGAACTGTTCCTGTCGGCTGCCATGGTCTCTGATACCTCACCCGAGGAGCAGGTCAAGTTTACCCAGATGTCCACAGTCCAGCAGTAACAACTCAGATCTCTTGTCCTCTCATGGGGAACCAGCTGATTGTCCCACAGTGAATTATGATGTCATCAGCTTAGTGCTGTCACTAGAACCTCTGCTTCTTCTCTCTTCTTGGTTTTTTCTGCAGCTGGACTCAGAGGATGAGGAGCTTTGTTACCATGGAGATAACGATGCTGAACCTACCTCTGATGCTTTGGCAAGTTCCTGTCCTCTTTCGTGTCTTTGCCGTCTCTTGGCTCCTTCCTGTGCTGGTCTGCCTCTTTCTGTCATTCTCCTCATTTAAATAGAATAACTTTATTTAGAGTCGACTGCATGAACATCCGGTTGTTAGAGTGACACTGAGCCGCTGCCACCGCTGCTCGGTTAGCTCTGACGGTGCTGGTGCTGTCTGACATGATTCTGCTAACTGTTCTGGGTGCTCTTCAGACTCCAGGATTTGGAGCACGGCTCAGAGCTCCACAGAGCCAGGTTCCTCTGCTTCCTGGAGAGACCGTCCAGCTCACAGGTGGGTTTAACCGACCGCATCACCACACATCAGGTGCAGCTCCCAGAACAACTACTCTCTCTACATCTTTCTCGTGTGTGTGTGTGTGTGTGTGTGTGTGTGTGTGTGTGTGTGTGTGTGTGTGTGTGTGTGTGTGTGTGTGTGTGTGTGTGTGTGTGTGTGTGTGTGTGTGTGTGTGTGTGTGTGTGTGTGTGTGTGTGTGTGTGTGTATGTGTGTGTGTAGTAAAGGACGTGATGCATATCTGTCCATTCAGTGGCGTTATCACAGGAACCCTCACCATCACTGACTACAAACTGTTCTTCAGCAGCACAGAGGTTTGTGATGTCATCAGCATGGTGACCAATCAGACGGTGTGTCTCTGGAGTGTGTTGATCTGTGTGTCTCATTCAGAACTCGGCCCTTGTGCTTGACATTAACCTGGGAGCCATCAGCAGAGTGGAGACCTTTACTGTCAAACACCAGGAGAAAAATATCAGTGGTCTCCACCTGGTGTGCAAGGTAGAGCCCGCAGGTTCCAGGACCTCCACGTCCATCAGACGGTTCTCTGTTCATGTTCTTGTGATGCAGCCATCTTCTCTGTTCTGAGCAGGACATAAGGAGTCCAAGGTTTGCCTACAAGACAGAAGAAAATCAGCCGGATGTGCAGAAGGTTCTGGTCCAACACACGTTCCCTCTGTCCAACAGCCTGGTTAGTCTCCTTCAACCACTTCAGGAAATGCGAATATTTGGATTTGTCCCCAATTGGGTCAGCAGGGTGGTCGGACTGAGTGGACAAGGCTGAGCTAGGGAGAGGATCAGCTGGCTAAACTCGGCTGATAAGTAAATGGACCAAATGGGAATTCCTTAATGAAACGTTTCCTAAAACCACTAGAGATGTTAGCAGGTGTAACGTTAGCATGCTGGTGGGTTTGACATTAGCTTTTACAGGTATCTGCAGAAATGTGCACACAGCAGGCATGCAGTTAGTTTGGGGCTGTCTGTCTGGAATCTTGTTGGAAAACAGCCTTCACCAGGAAATTGTGTGTGTGAATGCCCCTGACATCCACAGCATTACACTTACTAATACAGGCCATGCTAAAGCAACCAATGGTGGTCCACCAGTCCTGGCATTCCCAACACATGGCTAGGTGTCCGTGAGCAAGACCCCGTTCAGTAAGAGCGTGTAGTTCCCCCGTTAAACCGGTACTGATGGATAAAGCCTATCCTATTCTATTACTTGCTAGCTTTTTAGCATAGTTCATGTCCCCAGAGTTTATTAATAACATCCTGTTAGAGTTACGCTGGTGTTTTGTTACAAACTCTTCCTGATGGTCCGAATGTTTTAGTTCAGCTGGAGTTTAAGACATGAAACCAGAAGTATCGGAGCTTCGGGGTTGACCAGCCCTATTCCCTAAAGATTCAACGTAAACATTAAGACTGAAATGATTTCACACTAATGCCTTGAGAAACAAATCTAGTTTCAAAATAAAACAGGAAGTTTGGAACGGAAAGCATAAAGCACGCTTCCCATTTGTCTTTTGTCTTCAAGTCAAATCCAACACTTGGACCTGAGGAGGCAGGAGCTGGTTTCAGTCCACACTGTGGTGTGAAATCAGTTTGAAGTAAGAGATTTCCTAGAGAGGAGACGATGGAAGCACAGAAAAACACAACGGTTCTTTAGCTGAGCTGAATGTCCTTTCTTTGTTTTTGCTGTTGTGTATTTTAATTGTTTCTCTTACTGTGTAGACCTATTATTGTGGCCTCTCTCTCCACCCAGTGGAGCATCGGGTTATTTCAGTGTTTGCGTGATCCCATGCAGATGTTTTGTGTTTCTCTCCCAGCCTCTCTTTGCCTTCAAGTACCAGGAGCAGTTTCCTGTGGATGGTTGGAAGGTTTATGACCCGGCAGCAGAGTACAGACGCCAGGTAACCACATGAAACGTCCAGCAGGGTGTTGCTCCTGCTCGGTTTCATAGATTCAGTTGGACCAGGTTGTCATGAAGCTTCAGGCAGACAGTGCTGTGACTCCGGCTGAGACATTATCAGGGATGTTCAACGCATGACAAAACAACGGGGTTAAGCGTGGAGTTTCTCAAATGTCTCGAAATGCTCTCCAGGGTTCTCGGTGTCCTCTCAGGACCTAACCCTGACCCTCTCATCCTGCTGGTATGTAGAACATGTTGAAAACTTTTGTAAGACAGATTTAGCGCAACCTTTTTGGCACCCGTCCAACACCAGTCACATCCCGTTTCAGCGCGATAGGGTCTGGACGTTGGTGTTCTTTTTGTTGCTGTGCTTGGTTCTGCTTCATGACCCGGCTTGGTCCAAACCTCTGCTGTCAGACAGATGGGCTCTTTTTGGAGTCTAGAACACTTTGGTTTAAAGGAGAGTTCACGGTGAACTCAGTGGCTTAAAGGGTCCCAAAGCATCAGCCCTCTACCACCATGCTGACAATAAGGGTAGGCTGTAAAAGGTTCAACAAAGCATAAGAATTTAAATATTCAACCAACACCTGATGATAATGTTATGGGCCATTCCCATCTGCACCTGGTCGGCCCTGCCCGGATAGCTCCAGTTGGCCCCAGCCTGGCCCAGTTGATTCCACACATCCTTGCTTAGGTATGCAAGGAATACAGTCAGAGACATTTTCAGCTTCTAGGTAATCAGCATGATAATGAATGATAATGAATTGAGCATGCCTTAAGCCCATGTGGGCTGATTCGACCCACCAATCAGAGGCTTGCTGTAATGGAAGGTGTGAATTTGCTGTCAGCAGTGGGCAGTGTTGCCAGATGTACGATAATTATCGTATTTGTACCATAATTTTGGGCTCTGTACGATGTACGATCAATAGTTTCAAAAATCCTCAAATGTACGATAATTTCACATTGCATCTAGTAACACCGTCTTTTGCTGTGGCTTTCCCAAGTCCATTACATAATTTTAAACTGTTCTGAAGTCAGATTTCACCTCAGTGCTTACAGGTTTATGCTTTTGTGTCTATTACAAAAACTGACTCTGGAACTAGGTGAGTAGGCTGCTTTGTCATTTATTGGGTCAGTTTTTCCTTTGGTGTGATGTTTTGTCGCGTGCGTTTAACCTATGTAGAAA